CACACACACACATACCCACTCCCGGACGCCTGGGTCCTTTCCCCCCCCCCCAACGCTGCCCGTGGAGGTGGGGCGGGGAGCAGCTGACGAAAGGCTGACGCGCTAGCAAGAGACGCGAGAGCCTCCCCCGTCCCCCAAACACCCCCCTCTAGCAGGTGTACCCCTGCTGCGGGGGAGCAATGGGGGGGCTGATCGGTCCCCTAGGCCCCCCAACCTTAAGTCAGGGCTGCCAGCCCCCCCGGCGCCCATACCTGCCCTGCAGCGGCTGCCCGGCGTAGCTCAGCGAATGGGGCAGGTAGCCCCCCGTCTCCGGCCGGGGGTGGGGTTCGGGCCAGCCGCGGGGGGGGCCCCCGTCTCCTGTCCCGGGGTGGGGGCAGGCCCCCCCCGCTCCCCCGGCGTTACGCAGGTACCAGTTCCGGAGCCCCTCCAGGGCCAAGGCTTTGTGGACGGCCCGGGGCGGGCGCTGGGGGGCCGGGGGCGGCTGGCTCTGGGGAGGGGGCCCGCAGGACTTGGCGCGTCCCGCCCGGCGCGGCAGGGGGCTCTCGGGGTACCCCCAACCAGGAGGCGGGGGGGCATCGCGGCGCGAGAGGTGGTCCCCGGCCGGCCAGCACTGGCGCTCCAGGTAATAGTCCAGCAGGATCTCAGCGTAGGGGGGTCGGGGGGGACCGCGGAAGTGGGGGTCTTCAGGGGGAGCCCCCCGCTCGATCAGGGCCTCCGAGCTGTTGCTGCGGCGGGTGCGGGCGGCGAAGGCCGGGGGGGCCCGGTCGGCACTGGGATCCCGGCTGGGGGGGCCGAGCTGGGAGTCCTGGCTCCCCGACCACTGGCGGCCGGCTGGGGGGGCGTCCGGCCTGTGGGGGAGGCAGAAAGAAAAGGGGGGTTAGTAAAGGGTGGAGTATAGCAGGCACCCCAAATTCAGTACCACCAACGTGACCCCAGAGCCCCCCCAATTCACCCCCCCCAGCCCCCAGACCCAGTGTCATTGCCCCACCTAGATAGGCCCTGCCCAACTCCCACTAAGCAAGACAGGACCCCGAGCTCTGCCCTCGGATGGGAGACCGAGGGGTGAAGCGGAGACGCAATGGGAGGCGCCGGGCTGCGGGGGTCAGGTGGGGGGCTGGGCAGGGGGCGCTCTCCCCAGGCAGGCAGGGCCGGGCACTGTGGGGCGGGGGGTCTCTAGGGGG